CCACAAAGGGTATGCAGATGCAAATTAGGCAAGTTCTATCTTCGATCGACGATCCACATTTGGATACTTTACTTTTGTGGATGGTAATCTCGTTACTTGGAGAAGCTAGAAACAGAAAGTTGTTACTAAGTCAAGTGGAGAAGCTGAGTTTTGTGGTATGTCTCATGGTGTATGTGAGTTATTGTGGTTGAAGAAATTGCTGAGAGATCTTGGGTTTGAAACCAAGAGTTCTATGAAACTCCATTGTGATAACAAGACTACTATTGAGATTACTCATAATCTAATACAACATGATCTTACAAAAAATCAAAGATGGATCAGCATTTCACCAAGGAAAAATTGGATGTTGGAGCTATTGCTTTTCCGTTTATGGGATTTGATCATCAACTCGATGATGTGCTCACTAAGGTTGTGTCTAGTAGTGTGTTTCCAACTCGTTTAACAAGTTGGGCATGCTTGATATCTTCGCTCCAACTTGATAGGAAGTGTTAAGAGTTACACACACACGGGCGCACACACACACACACATATTAGTTAAAGGTAAATAGTAGTCTTGTCCTATATCGACAAAGTGCATATGTAATTGTTGATTCTAAAAACTACCAAACCTACGTGGCGCGCAAGCCGAGTAATTAATAAACTAACTACGTCCTATAGTTATGTGCGGGGCGTGCCAACTCGTCGACTGAGCTCGGTCGGGGAGTAAAATGTGTTGATGTTACATTAAGCACGCTCCTAACTTCTTGGTCTTATGATTGCAGTCGAGGAAGGAACACGTCTTAGCCTTCGAGTTCTAAAGTCTGAAGACAAGGTTGATAGTTCAATATCAGATTCGGCTTTTAATGTGCCGAATGTAGTAACCTGGTAACAACCTCACTTCGCCGAGAAGGCTAATGGGATGACCTCTACCAACAAGGACTTAAAAATCCTTGTCGACCGAGACTTGGATAGGTAATCAATCGGTCGAGAAGCAGTGTTGTTTATCCAAACTGAAGGTGCTCCTTAATCGACTGATTATACGGCTCCAATGATGTTTATCCAAACTGAAGATATTGCTAGTTGCCTTTACAATGCTGTTTATCCAAACTGAAGATGTGTCGGCGGGAAAAAGAAAATAAAAACCTCAAGGTTGTTGAGAGGTTTCGCGTAGAGTGAGAGTTTGTGTGTTGAATTGGAAGGGGCTTCAATGATGCACACCTTCTCTATTTATAACAATAAACTCTCTCATGGCCGAGCTAGAACCACACTCGAATTAGGACTCCTTAACTTAATCTAACTAGGACTCAGCCAATTCTAATTCAACTAGGACTTTGAACCCACCTTTTAAATGAGCCAAATTCATCTTCCAAGTCCCAGCATCCCTAGGACTCTTTATCATACTATGTCTCGACTTCACCTTTATTCAAAATAATCCTCTTCGTATCAGGATTCGACCAACCTTGATAGGGCCGGTCTATGACAAGATTCTAAACACACCTTTGGACTGAGCATATTTCTGAGCTCGGCCCAAAATAACATTTTGGGTCCAAACATTGCCCCCTCGCTTCTAAGGTCTTCGACCTAGAAAACACCTGGCCGAACCTCGACCTTGAAGAAGTGAAATCAAACCCTTAGTATATCATTGAAAAACAACGAAAAGTCTCGATATTCCATCCACTCAGATGCAGATCTTAATTTTGTGAGATGCCCTACCATGTGGCAATTCCTCAGCTTACTCATCTTCCTTTAATAATGACCCTCGAAACGTGTGACCAACGAAACGTCTCTTCTCCATTAAATCTGCCATCACACGCAAACAGGCATCCTTAAACCAAGAAATCTTCGGTCATTTCACCTAGATTTTTTGACTACCCATCATGATTATCAGATTCACTAGTCGATTTTACCCCCTATTTAAAAATCAAACGGTTGATCTTCTGCCCATAATGCCTATAAATACCCGACTCTTCTTCATTCATATTTTACATTTTCCGAACTCTTGAATCTCTTGCCATTTGTTCTCATAACCCAGAGAATCTCAAACCTAGAAAATCCCTTGATTCCAACACCTTTATTACCAAGCTTTCTAAGGAGTGCACCAAGTGCAAGGACTTCATCAACCGAAGTGTTATCAAATGCTACCCACCAAATCTTGGGACCACTTTTCAAAGATGTTGTCCCAAAGGCCATCACCGAAATGCTCAAGGTTCACTGATTATAACCCTTGCTCCAAGGGTATGATTGGTTGAGGTGGGAATTGGCCAGGCCTCAAGGAGCTTGGCCCTTGACCCCTACATCCTGAGTAGCTTGGGTTGAACGAATGGAAAAATTCTTCAGCACAGAGTGGAAAACTCTTGACATTTATGATGATATCAAGCTCTCAACTATTGAGATTGTAATGGACCAGGAACTTCTCACGGCAACCTTGAGTTTTTGGTGCTCAGCCACCAACACAACAGTACTCCCCATCGACCTTATTGGCTCAACCGTGCTCAACATATCGGCCGTCCTTAGCACTTTTCCATCTAGTTTTCCAGTTAATACCATTCTTTTTGGGTATCAATTCGACTTAGACCTTAAATCTTTATTCGACGAGTGTGTCGTCGAGGCCCTAAAGAAGAAAGACCAAGAACCCTCAAAAGAAGAAGTCCAAAAGCTGCACAAGAACTTCTTCAACTACAACACTCTCATCCACCACTTTGTTGGTCGAGGGGAGGAAAACCTTTGGAAAGGGGAACATGAATCCTTCCTATTCGACTTATACAACAAATTTATTGTTTGTACCAAGTCAAATAAATGTTTGATCGAAAATAAGCCAGTGGACGTGTTACACCCTACCCCCATTTTATTTAAAAATGGTTTTTAGTTTTTAATTGGTGAGCCCAAGGGGCCCACCCTTGATTTTTTTTGTTCCCCCGAGTCTCTTATCTCTTCCATCTCAGTCCTCTTTTTCTTCCCTTTCCTTGTGCCCTCTCTCTACACTTTCTTTTATCTCTCCAGCGCCGAAAAGGAAACCACCACCACCCATTCTATTTTCAACCAAACCAAAAACCCAAAAATCTAAACCTCAAACCTTTGGGACATGGCGAATCATGGCGAATCCACCTGTAGCCTTGCAGGTGTCATCAAAGCACCTCTATATGCTCTGCCATTAACGCAGAGAGCTTGAGCTCTCTCAAACTCCATCTCAGGTATGGTTTAATCCCTCTCTTGATTAGTGTGGGTTATAATCTGGCCTATGATGCGTGTTTATATAAAAAAATATAAGGGTTTAAACCCTGTTTTGAATATGTGCATGCATGTTCGGTTCCGAAGATGAACTCTGGCGAGTTCATGGGTGTGTGTTATGCAGTGTTCGTGGGTGTGTGCTATGCAATGTTCATGGGTGTGTAAGGTGCCGTAAGTGTGGGTGTATGTTGTGTTGTGTATGTATGTGTGTGTTGTACGTGTGTGTATGTGTTGTGCATGTGTGTGTTCATGTGTTGTGCATGTGTGAGTGTGTGTGGTGCCCGTGTGTATATGTGTGTTGTGCCGTGCGTGCGTGTGGGTGTGTGAGTGTATTGTGTGTGCGTATATGTGTGTGCATGTGTGTTGTGCATGCATGCATACATGTGTGTGTGTGTGCGTGCTAGCGTGTGTGTGTGTGTTTTGTGGGTTTAGGCTGAAGCCCAAACTACCCCATTTGTTCCTAACTATTCAAACCCAAAACCCAATAGGTCATAACCTTATTTAACCTAAACCTAAACCCTAATCCGGATCCAAACCTAAGACCCATTTCCATTTCTTGAAATTCTATAGTTGGGTAGTTTGATAAATTGTACATTTTTGTTCTAAGGTGAAGTTGCTAGTGGGGATTTCCTTAATCATTTTCCGCACAACTCTGCTGCTACGGAGTATCTGTGAGTGGACCCCTTCTAAAATTTGCATAATTTTATAGTTTATTTGCATAAATGAAATGCATGCCTTAAGAGTTTATGAACTGATTTTATGTGAAGCATGTTTATTGAAATGTTGTTTATCGTCTCGTTTTTTGTGAGGAATTAATTGTTGGCCTATATTGAGCTATATTTTAATATATCGTATTTTTCTATAAAAACCATGAACTGGTAGACTATCTGATGGATGACGATAGGATGCTAGAACATGTTTTAGAAACCCTTATTTATAATATAGACGATGGATGACTTTATACTATAAAGTGGTTATTTATGAGAGGCGTAACTATTTATGCGTACCTAGTGGACACTATGTCGCCTAGGACGAGGATCTGGTGTTGGTAGATAGGCCGAGAGAAATAATCCCTAGCTACGGGCTGAGGGACATGGAGCAGGCATTGGGCCTGGAGTTGGTAAGAGACCACGGTGCTGGCATAGGGCCTAGAGTTATATTTATTCAGTGATCTTACTAGCAGTACATCGCGCTACGAGACGATATGTGAGATGTTTAATATTTTGTTTTCCATGATATGTCTTTTGAGATATTTTTGGCATGCTAGGGTTTTCAATAAACTAATCACTTATTATGCTAGTAGTTTTCTTTATATAAACTATGAGGGTTAGTATCTTGATAACTGTTTTATTATTATTGTATATATGAACTTGGTCCACTCACCTTTGTTTTGCACCCCCATTCAGGTTTTAGAAACGAGGACTATGACAATGTACGAGGCATTCCCCTACCATTAGCAGTCTATCACTCACTTGTGTGATATCTTGTAATGATCTTTCCTTTTGTGATCTTGAATTAGGATGTTTTCTGTGCACTCTAAACATTTCCTTAAACTTTGTTTATTACCTTTAGATTCTAATGATTATTCATGCTTATTTCCTCCTAATCATTACTCTTGTATTCAATAAATGGCTTTCGTCACCATCAGGTGTTGACCAGCACGTGCCTATCTTGGTATTCGGGGAATATCGAGGTGGGGACATGTCAGATTGGTATCAGAGCATGGTTAGGGTTTCTTTCCACCAATTTGGTAAATTTCAGCCTTTCTAAATCTTGTTGTCCTTGTCAGAATCATGGCTAATCCTGGTGGGAATGTGCCTCAACAACCTTGTTCTTCTATAATTGGGGGAATCCAACAGTTTACCTCTGCATTAATGAATGTTCTTTCGGGTCATAGGTTGAATTGGACGTATATTGAAATCGTTAGAAGTCATGAAGTTACTGAGTTGAAATCTGTGGGAAATTGTGAAGAGGTTAAGCAGTGGTTAGAGAAAATGGAAGATACTCTGGAGGCTATAAAGTGTCCACTAAATGAGTGGGCAAACACTGTAACTTTTTTCATTAAGGGTGATGCTAGGAGTTGGTGGAAATCAATGAAGGAATCTTGTCCACCTAGTTCTTGGATGACATGGTCTGCCTTCAGGAAATGTTTTATTACTTACTTTCTAAGCCCCAGTTACAGATTGAGGAAGAGGCATGAATATTTAGAGTTTCGACAGGGTGACCTCAGCATCACAGAATTTGACAGTACCTTCAGGCGCTTGGCTAAGTATCATGATGGGACTTATGATAATCCACAAGCGCAGATAGATCAGGCGATGCTTGCACTGAACTAAGAGTATTGTACACTAGTAGCTGCTCAGAAACCCATAACTTATGAAGAAGTAATCGAGATAAGTCTGAGTATAGAACAGTCTAAGTGGGATACAGAGATGCAGGATCAACCTCAGATTTGGAGCCAGTCCTAGAGACATAATAGATAGCGGAATCAAAATCAGAGGAGTCGGAATTTCTGATCACGGAGTACCAGAAAATCTGTGGGCCACTCCAATTCTGTAGGTCCCAAACATTTTTTTCCTTTAAACGACCAGGTCGGGGTTCAGGGTCGTCCAATGAAAGCTCAGGCAACGAGTCGGCGAGACGATATTTCAGTCATTGCACTTCGAGTTATCTGGTCTGTAATCAATGTGGGTTACGTCATCGAGGGAGTTGTGGGATAACTGCTGTATTTTGTCATATGTGCGGTGGCACTGGGCATTTTGTTCGTGATTGTCCTTCAGCGCCACCACATGGTGATTTTGCCTCTAGCTCAGGCTACAATGGATATCAGATAGTTCAAAATTTTGGTGCTCGACAGAACTATGATAGCAGTGGCAATAGTAGTCGGAGTTATGGTAGCGGTACTAATCAGAACTACGGGTGTAACAAAGGTCTACAGTTTGGTGGCAGAGGTAGCCAAAGTTTTAGAGGAAATGACAACCGGAATGCTCAATTTTTGACCTAGCAGTAAGCTAGAACATCTTCTGGTAATAGTAATAAAGGGAACAGAGCAAGACGTGGTTCTAGAGGTCGTGGCGGTTGGAACAATAATGTGGGATATCAGGTTCATGGACGTATGAACGCCATGACTCAACAGAAGGTTGATCAGGATCCTCGAGTTATCACCAGTATGTTACTTGTCTGTAATACTTGGGCTAGAGTTTTAATTGATCGGGGTGCTACACAGTCTTTTGTTTCTTCATCTTTTGCTCGGGTTATACCTTCTCAACCTCAGCCACTAGTTTTTGATATGCTAATTCAAATGATAAGTGGTGAATTGTTTTGTGCTCAATGGCAATATCGGAATTGTCCAGTTATTGTTGAAGGGGAAAACTTAGAGATTGACTTAATTCCTTTCAAACTGGCGGAGTTTGATGTCATTCTGGGAATGGATTGGTTATCTAAGCACCAAGAGAATGTTGCATGTTGGGAGAAAATTATGACGTTCAATCGACCAGGACTTCCATCAGTTACATTTATGGGTGAACGACGTGTCCTCCCCAATAGTATTATTTCTGCCATTCGAGCAACTAGGTTGTTGAATAAGGGTTGTGTAGGGCTTTTAGCCCACGTAGTTGTGAATGATGAACCTTCTTTACATCCAGAAGAGGTGCCAGTTGTAAGGAACTTCATCGATGTGTTTCCTGATGATTTACTGGGGTTGCCACTTGCGAGGGCAATTGAGTTTACTATCGATTTACTCCCAGGTACAAATTCTATTTCCTTGGCACCTTATCGAATGGCGCCAGCGGAGTTGAAAGAATTGAAGATCCAACTCCAGGAATTGGTAGACAAAGGTTACATCCAGCCGAGTACATCCTCGTGGGGAGCTCCTATTCTTTTTATTAGAAAGAAGGATAGATCAATGAGCCTTTGTATCGATTATAGGCAACTGAATCAGGTGATGGTAAAGAATCGTTACCCTCTGCCTTGGATCGATGATTTGTTTGATTAATTGAAAGGTGCTCAGGTATTTTCCAAAATTGATCTTCGATCGGGTTACCATCAATTGAGGATTTGCGAGGATGATGTCCCGAAAATTGCTTTCCGTACGAGGTATGGGCATTATGAATTTCGTGTCATGCCTTTCGGATTAACAAATGCACCTGCAACGTTCATGAATTTGATGAACAGAGTCTTTAGACCATATCTGGTTTGGTTTGTGATTGTGTTCATTGATGACATTCTAGTTTATTTTAGAAGTGTTAATAAGCACAAGAAGCATTTGAGACTAATGCTAGAACAGCTAAGGGATAACCAGCTTTATGCCAAGTTCAGTAAGTGCCAGTTTTGGTTAACTCAGGTTGGTTTTCTTGGACACATGGTTTCTGCTGAAAGAATTAGTGTGGATCCCCAAAAGTTGTCAATAGTGTCTAACTAGGAACAATCGATTAATGTCACCGAAGTAAGAAGTTTTCTGGGTTTGGCAGGGTATTATCGAAGCTTTATTTATATTTTTTTTGCAATTGCTCTACCTCTTACTAAATTAACTTGTAAAGGTGTCCAGTTTATGTGGGATGAAAATTGTGAACAAAGTTTTCAGGAGCTTAAGCGACGTCTCACTCAGGCCCCTGTTCTTGCTCTTCTAGATTACAGTGGTGAATTTGAGGTGTATACTGATGCTTCTCTATCAGATTTTGGGTGTGTACTGATGCAACATGGAAAAGTTATCGCCTATGCTTCCAGACAACTCATAACCCATGAAAGAAATTATCCTACTCATGATTTAGAGTTAGGAGCAGTGATTTTTGCTTTGAAGATTTGAAGGCACTACATATATGGAGAGAAATGTCCTATTTTTTACGGATCATAAGAGTCTTAAGTATGTGTTCACACGAAGGAGATGAATTTGAGACAAAGAATGTGGATGGAGCTTATCAGTGATTATGACTGTTCGATCGAGTACCATCCTGGGCATGCTAATGCCATGACTGATGCTCTTAGTCAGAAACATCACGAGCAGCTTGCATCACTTCAAGCTGTACACGTTCCATTACTATTTTCTCTTCGGGAAACTGGTGTTAATTTGGAACCAGGTGAGCACGGAGCTTGGCTAGCACATTTTTAGATTAGACCTATCTTTGTAGACATGGTCAGAGAAGCTCAGGAACTTGATCCGGAATGCGCCGAATTAAAGGAACAAGTGTTGAACGGGGAGAATGAGAAATTTGTCATCCGTAAGGACGGAGCGTTATTGAAAAGGAACCGTTTGTTCGTGCCTAAAGATAATGAAGCTGTTAAAAAAGAAATTTTGGATGAGGCTCATACTTCAGCTTATGCTATGCATCCAGGAAGTACTAAATTGTATTGGACCATTTATCCTTTCTATTACTGGGAAGGGATGAAACAGGACGTAGCAAAGTATGTGAGTAGATGTTTAATCTGTCAACAAGTTAAAACAGACAAACAAAGACCTGGGGGACTATGCAGAATCTTTCAATACCACTTTGGACTGCCTAGAACACCGTCAAGGTATGATGGTATTTGGGTAATTCTCGATGAGTTTACCAAGACCGCTCATTTCTTACCAGTTCAAAGACCTATTCATTGGAGAAATTGGCGAAATTATTCGTCGATAATATTGTTCGTCTTCATGGTGTACCCATCTCCATTATGTCAGACAGAGATCATTTACTTCCAGGTTTTGGAAAACCTTTAATGCCGCTATGGGTACTCAATTACTGTTCAGCACTGCTTATCATCCACAAACTGATGGTCAGTCCGAGCAGACGATTCAGACTTTAGAGGACATGTTGAGAATGTCGGTGTTACAGTGGAAAGGTAGCTGGGATAACTATTTACCATTGGTGGAGTTTGCTTACAATAATAGATATCACTCGAGTATTGGTATGGCGCCTTTTGAAGCATTTTACAGAAATGCGTGTAGGACGCCATTATGTTAGACAGAAGCATGAGAAAGGTCGTTGGTGGCACCAGAGATTGTGGATACCACCAACGCTAATATCCAACTAATTAAGGTGAATTTGAAAGCAGCATATGACCGACAGAAAAGCATTGCGGACAAACACTTCAAGGATCGTGAGTTTACAGTGGGCAACTTTGTATTCTTGAAGTTGTCTCCCTGGAAGGGTGTTGTTCATTTTGGTAAGCAAGGAAAACTGAGTCCTCGTTACGTCGGTCCTTATCTGAGAGAATTGGTGTAATTGCTTATAGGTTGGAGCTACCACCGGAGTTGTCACTGATCCATAATGTTTTCCATGTTTCCATGCTTCGAAAATATGTACCAGATCCCTCTCATATCATCCAGTTATAGCCATTGGAAGTAAATCCAGATGCTAGCTATATAAAAGAACCAATGGCTCTCCTTGACAAACAGGATAAGGTGTTGCAGAACAAAGTTATGCCTTTGATGAAGGTACTATGAAGGAACCATGCAATTGAAGAAGCTACTTGGGAAACAGAGGAATCAATGCGGAACTAATATTCCTTTCTTTTCGTGTAAATTCGCAATTTCGAGGAAGAAACTTCTGTAAGGGGGTAGATTGTTACACCTTACCCCCATTTTATTTAAAAATGGTTTTTAGTTTTTAATTGGTGAGCCCAAGGGGCCCACCCCTGTTTTTTTTGTTCCCTCTGAGTCTCTTATATCTTCCCTCTTAGTCATCTCTTTCTTCCCTTTCCCTGTCCGCTCTCTCTTTACACTCTCTTTTATCCCTCCAACGCCAAGAAGGAAACCACCACCACCCACTCCATTTTCAACCAAACTAAAACCCAAAAATCTGAACCTCAAACCTTTGGGACATGGCAAATCCACCTGCAGCTTTGCATGTGTCATCAAAGCACCTCTATATGCTCTGCCATTAACACAGAGAGCTTGAGCTCTCTCAAACTCCATCTCATGTATGGTTTAATCCCTCTCTTGATTAGCGGGGGTTATAATCTGGTTTGCGATGCATGTTTATGTCAAAAATCTAAAGGTTTAAATCCTGTTTTGAATATGTGCATGCATGTCCGGTTCCAACGATGAACTCTGACGAGTTTGTGTGTGTGTGTTGTGCAGTGTTCATGGGTGTGTGTTATGCCGTGAATGTGGGTGTATGTTATGCCGTATATTTGTGTGTGTATTGTACATGTGTGTGTGTTATGCGTGTGTGTGTGTGTGTTGTGTGGGTTTAGGCTCAGGCCCAAACCACTTCTTTTGTTCCTAAATATTCAAACCCAAAACACAAGGTCCTAACCTTATTTAACCTAAACCTAAACCCTAATCCGGATCCAAACCTATGACCCATTTCCATTTCTTGAAATTCTATAATTGGGTAGTTTGATCAATTGTACATTTTTGTGCTTAGGTGAAATTGCTAGTGTTTCCGCACAACTATGCTGCTACGGAGTATCTGTGAGTGGACCCCTTCTAAAATTTGCATAATTTTATAGTTTATTTGCATAAATGAAATGCATGCCTTAAGAGTTTATGAATTGATTTTATGTGAATCATGTTTATTGAAATGTTGTTTATTGTCTCGTTTTTGGTGTGGAATTAATTGTTGGCCTATATTGAGCTATATTTTAATATATTGTATTTTCTACAAAATAACCATGAACTGGTAGACTATCTGATGGATGACGATAGGATGCTAGAACATGTTTTAGAAACCCCTATTTATAGTATAGACGATGGATGACTTTATACTATGAAGTGGTTATTTATGAGAGGCGTAACTATTTGTGCGTACCTAGTGGACACTATACTGCCTGGGGCGAGGATTTGGTGTTGGTTGATAAGTTGAGAGAAATAATCCCTAGCTACAGGCTGAGGTACATGGAGCAGGCATTGGGCCGGGAGTTGGTAATCTCTGGCTATGGGCGCAGAGACCACGGTGTTGGTATAGGGCCGGGAGTTATATTTATTCAGTGATCTTACTAGCAATACATCGCGCTACGAGACGATCTGTGAGATGTTTGATATTTTGTTTTCCACCATATGTCTTTTGAGATATTTTTGGCATGCTAGGGTTTTCGATAAACTTATCACTTATTATGCTAGTAGTTTTCTTTATATAAACTATGGGGCTTAGTATCTTGATAACTGTTTTATTATTATTTTATATATGAACTTGGTCCACTCACCTTTGTTTTGCGCCCCCATTCAAGTCTTAGAATTGAGGACTACGACACAATGTATGAGGCATTCCCTTACCAGTAGCAGTCTATCATTCACTTGTGTAATATCTTGTAATGATCTTTCCTTTTGTGATCTTGAATTAAGACGTTTTCTATGCACTCTAGACATGTCCTTAAACTTTGTTTATTACCTTTAGATTCTAATGATTATTCATGCTTATTTCCTCCTAATCATTACTCTTGTATTCAATAAATGGCTTTCGTAACCCTCAGGTATCGGCCAACACGTGCATATCTAGGTATTCGGGGAATAACGGGGTCGGAACGTGTCAAGCCGAAGCCCTGGCCAGTGGTCACACCTTAGCTCTTAGTTCGGTCATCCTTGCCAACCTCACGCACTGCCTAGCTGAAACGACCGTTGCCAAAATTGACCCGCACCAGAATGGCCCACTTTGGGTATTCCAATTCTGGCTGCAGGTCTACTTTACCAACTTGAGGCCAGAAATCCTTAGCTTCCAGTCCCTTGAAGCACTAAGTCTCCAATTAGCCTCTAGACCAGCTCCTCCTCACTCGGCCGACGAAGTTTTCAAATACTTCTTCGGCCCATAAGATCTTTGTCATGAAGAATTCTTGATCTATCATCATCAGGAGTACCCCTCTTCCATCAAGCTTCCATCTTTGGCATGGGATGAGACCGAAGACGCCAACCTTTGACAAAACTAGAGGGCATTAGTGCTAACTCGCAACCTTCCTCTCGGTTATGATCATTGGCGCTCGATTTGGGAAGTCTACCACCCTCACTTTACCGTTCGGCAACTTGGCTTCCTCCAAGGCTGCCTTGTGCCTCTACTCACCTCCCAATCTCTTCTAAGTTGAGAACGTTTCTCTGGCTAGTTTGAGAGAGTGTGTAAAGAAAACGAGCGAGAATTTCAAGAGATGTGCTCGAAATTTAATCTTTGGCCGAACGTCCTTGCAACTCACAGCACTAGCACCTTTGCTGATTGGTGAGACGCATACATCCAAGAATTCTCTGGCACACCAGTCGAGGACGTTGTTAAAAAACTTTTCGGCAATCGTCCAAGGAAAGCTCCAGCCCCAAAATCCAAAGAAGTGGCCCAAGGTATAAGCCTTTTATTCATTTCTATTTCTATCTCAAAACTATCATCTTGACTTGAGTTTATTTTCAGCAGGTCGACACGGCCGCAACGGTTGCAGCCAAAAAGAAGCCTCATCCTCCAAAGAAGGCTGCAACTGTTCAAGCTCTCGTGACCTGTCCTACTCCAGTGGCAGCCACTACTGTGCCAGTCACACCGCAAACGGCCTTGCCCAGAGACAGGAATGGCTAGTAACATTGCCCCACCCTAAAAATGCATCAAAAAGAAGGCAAAGAAAGGGGGAGCGAGAGATTCTTATGATCTCAAGTCAAACCACTGGAGCAACTGCTCATATCATTTCTCACCCTCCTTCTGTCATCAACGCTTCGGCGAGAGGACTGCAAAATCCTCCCTTGGATCATGCGACTAAAGTTCACCTCACTTTTCCAGCCATGATCGAACTAGTTGTCACTCTATTGGTCGAGGGTCCTGCAGCTCCGGGGCCAGCCAATTCTCCTGTTATCGGTCCAATAGTTACTACCATGCGGGATGCGACCACTCTAGCCGAGAAATGCCTTCCCCCAAATCCAAAAAAGAAATCAATAATCGTTGTGGAAGAAGAATTACGACCATTTTGTTAGCAATTTTCCTCATCTACTTAATTGGATATCCTAATTAATGAACAACATTTTTCTGTCTAGGAGGACCACAGTGAATAACCTTTATTGGTAAAGTGCCCCTAATCGACCGAGATACCACCCACCATTCCTCAACCAGTAATCGAAATGGCTGGCCAAGTCAACCATTCTGCTGTCGAAACGGAAGCGACAGCAAAGACTCCGATTCATCCCCAAAATCAGAATCTCGGCATTCCTCCACATGAGGTTACTTTGGCCTTCGTAAGAACCTTCATTATCCTTTTATTAACTTTCTGCTTTAGAATTCTAAACCAAAAAATATTAAATGTCAGGTGCCCAATTAGTCGTTTCGCAGAAAATTCTATACGCCGAAGGGTGTTATCTGTATTACCTAGCTACCTTAATGGCGGTTGAACATAGATAACCTTTATCGGCCGCGTGAATTAAGAAGCAATCTTAAACACCAAGCTCGACCATTAAGCTCTCTAGTTTCAAGCAATGAATTAGGGGACATGGCCGAAGTCTCCTCTTGGCATGTCTAAAACAAATTCTTTCTCTACTATCTTCCTTACGATTTTCCTTTTTTCTGAAATCTTTTCATATGCAGCCTTCATGGGAAATCAAGCTTGACGCCCTCCTTTCCAGTTCTTCAGGGACGGTCAATCCTTCTGTTACAACAACTGGACCTTCAGCATCAACGGTCGAACCAAATGCCTTTGTCAAGCTGCATGAGCTTTTGTCTCTCTTAGCATATCAAATCCTCGGGCATAAAGGCCTCAAATCAATAGGAGAATGTTTGAACGACCTTGCAGCCGACGGCCTACTAAGTAATGAAACTATCACTCGTCTGTCTTCTATCCTGGAACGAACCCGAAAGTATTTTAATATCTTCAACAGATCTCTTCGAGCAGAAGACGATTTTAAGGTTGTAATGGTTGCTCAAAAAGCTCTTTGTCCGAAGGTCGAGGGGATAAAGGCGAAGAAAGACCAACTAGCAGACCTCGATCGTCAAATTACCGAACTCCAAAATCGAAGGTCGGTAGTTGCTTTTGAGCTTGCAAAGGATTTCGAGTTGAGCAAACCTTACTTGATCGAATATGCGACTGGGGTGAAGCGGATAGAGCAGATGAAGATGGATAAGAGGACTTGGCGAGCTGATGTTACAATGGGTGAAGTAAGGTGGTTAGAATTGAAGGCGGCCCTTGAAGCTTTCCTTCCTTCATCTCCTTAAAACTGTTTTAGCTGATAAACTGGTTAACCAGCTCTGTTTGTACACCTTTTTTGCAAAATTAATGAAATGAACTTTTATTCTCATATCTCCCGTGTGACTAGATAGTATTTCTTTAACAATTTCCCATTGATTGGTAGTTATGAATTGAGCCGGTTCTATCTTTAAGGTGGTATGCCCCCTTGCTGAGAACTTTTGTGGACGATGAATGGTCATTCCCAATTCGACGACCATTTTCTGAATCTGGGGTCTTTAATTCCTACTAGCAATATAGTTTGCCAAACTAGTTCACCTTTGCCGAACGTCTTTTGTCTGACCCGTTGATTATAAGCTCGCTCGGCGATCTTTTTCTATGCCACTAACAAATTATAGGCATCAAACCGTGCTTCTTCTAAATCTTCCAACTCTTACCTCATGGCCTGATTGTACTCGACACTCGTTAAACTATTTTGTTCGAGTACTCACAACGAGTTTATACTCAGCTCAACTGGTAACATCGCGTTGTGCCCATAAGTTAATGCATATGGGGTCATCCTAGTTGCTGATCGGAGTGAAGTCCGATATACCCATAAAGCCTCGTTTAACTTCAAATGCCACATACCTGGCTTTTCCTTTGTTTGCTTGTGCGTAATATGGCATGGATTGTTCGAGTCGGATTTTCAAATTCGCCGTATATTCTTTGAACCTTTCAGCTGTAAAGATTACGCTGTTGTCAGTTATGATCGTTTCTGGTACGCCGAATCTAGTCACGATGTTTTCTTCTACAAAGTTGCAAACTTCCTTGGATGTTAATTCGACGTATGATTTTGCTTCAACCCACTTAATGAAGTAGCCGGTTGCCACAAATATCCATGCATGTTTTGCTGCTCCAAAAGGCGATGTAATTTTACCAATTACATCTATGGTCCATCCTCTGAACGGCCATGGCTTGTTGACCAAGTGGAGTAATTCGGCTGGGACTCTTTGTATAGGCTCATAAATTTGACATTGTACACATCCTTGTGCGTACTCGATACAATATTTTAATATACTCGACTAGAAATAACCATGTCGACGAAGCAACCAACGCATCTTATGTCCAGATTGATGAGCTCCGTAAATTCCTTCGTGTACTTAAGTAATTGCTTGGGCAACCTCCTGTGGAATGAGGCACAATAACAATAACCCATCATCACTTTTCCGGTATAACTCATTATGGTACAACACGTAATTTGTGGCATAGACCCTGGTCCTGCAGTCGTGTTTGTCACTAGGGTTATCAAGATATCGCATCATTGACCTTCTCCAGTAGTCTGATAATGTCTACAGGATCTCATTGCTCTAGTAACGAAGGTAAGGACATTACTTGTGTTCGGATCACGTGGTCGTGTTAGAAAACTTGTTGATTAACCAAGGTCGGGGTGCGATTGTCGTACTACAGGTATTACCCGGCCTAGCTCGCCCCCTCCCAGGAGTTGTACTTCATAGGCTATTTGAGCCAGTTCATCTACGTCGGTGTTTAGAACGCGAGAAATGTGTACAATCAAACGAATCAACCAAATAGCTAGCAACCATGTGATAGGGTACCAAAATACAACTTATGCAACAGAAAGTTCCATTGAATTGGTTAATCACAAGTTCCGAATCGCCGAAGACGAGTACATGGGCAGCCCTCAAGTCGTTAAGGACACTAAGGCCGATGATAAAGGCTTCGTATTCAGCCTGATTATTTGTACAATCAAAATCAAGCTTGAGAGAAAATACCAGCGGTGTTGATCAGGGGATTGAATAACAATCCCAACACCAGTCGAAGCTGAAATACTAAAGCCATCAAAATACATCGTCCAATCATTATTACGTGTTTCCACCATGCTGATTTCGATGTCGTTGCCTTCGAAACCATATAGAGAAGGATGTTGAGCTAAGAAATCGGCTAGTGCTTGTCCATTGATGGCTTTCTGTGGCACATATTACAAACTAAATTCGGACAGTGCCATTATCCACTTCCCAATTCAGCCTTTTACTATCAGCCGAGTGAGCATGTAATGGATAATGTCGGTTTGGGTGATGACCTGAGTGACTGATGGAAACATGTAATACCTAAGTTTTGACACGGCAAAAAATAAGGCCAGGCAAAGCTTTTCGACAGTGGAATAATTTATCTCAGGAAGGTTGAGATTCCGGCTATGATAGAAAATAGCCTGATCACACCCAGTGTCGTTGTCTTGCGTAAGAAGTCAGCCGATAGATTCCTCGACCACTAAGATATACAGGTTGAGGGGTTTGCCTCACTAAGGTGGCACAAGGACAGGTGTGGTTATGAGAAAGACCTTGATTTATGTGAGAGCATCCTGATGTTTATTATGCCATTCGAATTTATCAAAATCCTCGAGTTTCAAAAGCATGGAGAACGCCTTCATCTTTCCCACCAAATTAGCAATGAAGCAGTGAAGGAAATTAATCTTGCCGAGTAAGGACTGTAATTGTTCTTGGTCATCGGGGGTGGAGGGTCGATGATTGGCCATGCCTTGTTTTCGTCCACCTCGATGCCACGATGATACACAAGGAAACCCAAGAAATTACCGGCCAATACGCTAAAGGCGCATTTGGCTGGGTTCATTTTAAGGTTATGATGGCGCATACGAATGAAATCTTGCCGAAGGTCCTCTAAATGCATTCGATGGTGCTTTGATTTAACGACCACGTCATTGATGTATACCTCTATGATCGTACCAATCAAATCATGAAAGATGGTATTCATAGCACGTTGATATGTGGTGCCAGCATTTTTAAGACCAAATGGCATGACTACCCATTCGTAAGTCCCTAGTGCCCTTGGGCAACGAAAGGTAGTTTTCTGAACATCGGCTATGGCAATAAAGATCTGGTTGTAGCCAGCATAGCCATCCAGGAAAGACAACAATTCATGATTGGCTGTGGTGTCAATTAATAAATCTAAGATTGGCATCAAATATTCATCTTTAGGGGTGGCTAAATTCAAATTATGAAAATCGGTACAAATGCGTAGAGCGTCGCTTTTCTTTAACACTGGTACGATATTTGCCCACCATTCAACATATCGAGCAGTATGAATAAACGCATCTTTTAAAATTCAAACCAGTTCATCTTTTATGCCGAGTTGTACGTCTATCGAGAATCCCCGAGGGGGTTGGCGAAAAGGCTTACAGCCAGCTTTGATGTGTAATTCATGTTTAACGAGGGTTTGATCTAAACCAGGCATCTCATGGTAACTCCAAGCAAAACAATCTTTAAATTCATTGAGTAATTTACAAAGTTTGGTTTTCATGGGTTGGTGTAACAAAGCACTAATGAATAACGGTCGATGTTCCAAAATTTATTACCTCTAATGAGTCTTTGACTTGGGGCCGACTGTCTTCGAGCTCGGCCGGGACAACTTGGACTTTGTCAAGGGAAATGACAAGACCATTATCTATTTCGATGAGAAACTCCACAAGGTTTATGCTTGAATTAGGTTGTTTGGAAATAGTATACCAGTGGGCCAGTAGTCATTCCATGGTAGATGAAACCGTGGCCCAGCGTTCAACCTGTTTGGTGTCAAACATCAAAATCGGTAATGAGGTCAGCCAACCCAAGTCTCACCGAATCCTGGTGAATAGTCTTAGCACCAACCTTGATGGTTTTTTTAATTAAAATCCGAGTCGACCGTCCTTCATTGTTAAAATCATGCAAAATGATGTAGTCGACATGGTCGTCGTAGTACTATGCCTAGATCATGTTTGTTTTGAATGGCTGATTGTCGGCCGGATAAACCATG